GGCATTCGTGTGTGTGGATTTTATTTTTCCATGTTAAGACTTTACCTACGATGGAACTTAAAGTGAGAGCCAGGTTTAGAACGGATATAGCTTTAGTAAAGTTCCTGTAGGAAATTTTTGCCCATTAATCCTAAGTCCGGAGAAGATTAATAAATCCCCCATACCCTGTGCGCGTACATAGGCTTGATCAAAATAATCTCGATTAATTAAATCTGGACTTTATCAAATCGTGGTTTATGTGCGTAGAGTGCCACGGCACATACTAGTTGGAATACCAGCTCGGAACGTTTGGTTCGCATTAGCAGCTAATCGAAGTCCAGAGTAGGGTAATCGTTAGTCTTTAGATATTCCAACGATGCAGTGATCAGTAGAGGTTTTTGGATTTCTTGATGTATGTCGATGTGAAATGTCCAACATATTCGGTTTGGTATTGGGTTTCGTTAAGCTATGATCTAAGTGATCGTAGAGCAAAGCGAACATGGACCGCTAATGAGTTTTCTGTTGGAGATTACACAAAATTGCATGTTTTGATTTATTGAGTGAACGCAACTGTACATGGAATTTTCGTAGATGGCGGTCGTTCATTGTCTGCTTTTTCCAAATTTTTATAATGGCATTTAAATTAAGAAAGACTGGAGACTTGATCTAAAATATGATAAGGTTCGGTTGTAGAAATTCTTACTGTAAGGGTTCAAAAAGTACAAAAATGACCGACACCTATAACGACACAGCTAAAGCTAGAATCTTGAAAATTCGTACTACAATCGTAATAACGTACTGCAATACCTTGTATATATTAATAAACTTTTTTATCTGAAAGTGGTGAAAACGATTATGTCCTATACACGTTTTATAAATACACCTTTTAATATTATATGATATATACACGGTTTAAAATACGTGATAAAATCTAACATGTATATTTACATTACTTCACATGTTCGGTATTATCTCAGGAATATGGGAATCTGCACTGATCTGAGCTTATGGAAAACCGCTCGAACATTACCACAACTAAAAATCCTATAGCTGACCATATGTTTGGGCATTTTCTTTTCGGTGAAAAGTCCAAGATATCATTTGATCACCGTATCAATGAAAAATCTCTGTTTCAGCGATTACCATTATAGACTCTCAGTTACCCCGCAGACACACACACATTCCGCTAATATCAGATTTAATTAATCATGATTGTTTAGATCATGCCTTTCGAGGGATTAAATAATCCCCTCATTTTTGGGATTAATGAACCAAAAATTTTTTCGTTGAAAAAATCCAAATGCTTGTGTGTGTGTGTGGAAAACAAAGCTTGATCAAATCTGTAAAAATAAGTCCACGTTAAAACACCCATGTATAGTTTGCAAAATTTTGATCTTTCATAGAATATACGTGAAATGTCGTAGATTCAGAGGGAGAGAGTTACTTAAAGGGCTTATGCGACCAAGACAGAAAATGTATTTAAAATGATTTGAAATCCCATGGAATTCGTCATTATTCTTACTCTGGACTATGAGCGACAACACTCATTTGTTGAAATTTTATAAAAATCCCTGAAAAATGTAATCGGCAGCTCCTAGGAAATTTCGAATAAAGAAATCAGTAGATTTTATCAACAACATGGTATGTTCATGAATTTTTTTTTTTTAATATTTGAATATTTTGCACCACAAATTTGTGCAAATAAAGTTAAAAATTTATTAGGAAAAATAGTTTCCCTTTTTTACAAAATTTGCACAACTGGATTTAACATTCTGCGTTTTTACAGTTTTACTTATAAACCAGTGAGCGTAGCAGTATTGGTTTATTTGACCCGCTAGATATTGACCGTTTAGGACAGCTATTCGAATATGTTGGCCAAATCGCTTTTCCCATGGAAAATTTGTGATTGTGATTCGGCTTATAATTGTGGCGTCTAGAATGACTAGAAACCCATATAAAATTAATATTTTCGGTCCATTTCATCCACGGAATATCATCTGATTATCATCGAATCGTAGATAGATAGGAAAATAAGTCAATAACTGTGGCCTGTAGCGGATCTTCTCAGTCAGTCGAGATATGACGATCGGTATACTAAAATATGGGTCTTGGACCAATATTTCACTGCGTTACAAACTCTTGGGGCCACACAAAGTAATAATACCCTGAGAACAAAGTTGTGTAGGGTAGGCCCACAATTAAACCTGCTATTACAAAATTATTGGATTTGGCTTTGGAAAAGTCTAAAAGGTACTATTTAGACCACAACGTTTATGTATACGATGTAACAAAAAATTGACTTATCCCGATAATATCAAATTCCAGTAACTTTCGATTGCAAATTCCCCAAACAAAATTAACTAAATATCGATACCGCCTGCCAAACTATACTGAGAAGATATAAAATCAACATTCTTATTTGAATGTAAATTCAAAATCTATATCGATATGACACAATCTGTATAACATGAATATACATACATTTAAGTGTACAATAAATAATACGACCTCTAGCATGATTTCAATAGGCTGTCATTGTTGGCTCCAATTCGATAATATTAATTAAAAAAAATATATCTCTTGTACTCCATTTTCTGATCGCAAAGATTTATTATTGTCAAACTCTCAACCTGTCGGTACTTTGCCTTAAGGTTAACCTATAAAAAAATCAATTCAATTTCCAAATCTACAAACAATTCCATCTTACAATTAATGAATGTAATTAATTTGAAATCTTTAACCTATCTGACAATATATTTCATCATAAGCAACAATGGAGGATTTTATTTGCACTTCTAGAAAAACGAATTACAAATTTAAAAAAAAAAACATTGATCCAATATCAAAAAGCCTACAAAAGAACACCATCACAAATCATTGCCCACCCTCTAAATGGCTAACAAATCTTGAATAATCAGGTACTGATACTCGACAAGTGTTTAATTTTTTCTTAATCTCGAGTTTGTTTTTCTCAAGAATGTCCCCATTATTTGATCAACATTCAAAATTTCGAAGTGAAAAATTTCCTCCAATTAATCACATCCCCTTCGATGGCCAATTGTTGCACCTAAGTCAATAATGCCAAGCATGTGTTTTGTTGCACTTGAAATTCTCCAGAAATCGAATACTCCGAACAATGGCGGTGGACATTTGAAGAGATGACATTTCGTCATGTCACCTCAGCCACACATCAAAGTGAATTGCTTGACAAATAGCGGTAATATAAATCAAACCAGGCCACCAGTCAGTCAGCCACCACATACACACGAAGTATAACGAATATAGATTAATAACGGTTATTAATAATACAATTATTCGACAATGTAGCCAAATAATCAGGTTACAAGTTTCGTTCGGATTAAAGGACACTTCTAGGATAGATTGGCCCTGGCACCCTGCGGTGATAAATCAATAGAACCAATCGCAACAGAACTTGGCTATGCAACGGCCAGATACAATGCAGCAAGGAGTGTAATTGTTCTCGTTTAGTTTATGACCAGAGAGACGTCAATGTGTCTGGGAATGTTCTCACCAAATTACAACAGAACACAGGCGCATCTAACAGGTAGGTGATGTTCTGCACGCCCCTATCAACCGAGTGAATCCCTTTCTGTTTTGAATGCATCTGACAATGGCAGTGAGATGATGATGAGGACCAGACATTGTGCCAACGGCAACAACAAGTTGCGAAACAATGATGCACCATAACCAGACGGACACTACTGACACCGATACAGCCGATACAAATGACCATTGTTCGGCTCAATTCACCGGCCAAAGATAGTTAGTGTCGTGTAATTTATTTAGCCTCAGCCTCAGAGTCAATTGTTTCAAGAAACAAAATCAGTTGAGTTTGTGTTCTAGTGTGTGAGAGAGATGGGGCGATTGATCGGTGCAAGGTGTCACAAATGATTTCGAGCCAAACGCCTGTCTGTCTGCCGGGTTCTATTGTTCTGGGGCAGAATTTCGAAGTTCTTTTTTTGCAAAGACTAAATTTCTTTAGATGTTGTCCATAATGAATGGCAATCTTTGAATAATTGTTTTGGGAGCGTGTACACTCCCAATAACCTAGCCTAGCCGTCAGACTGTATGTCTCCGAAAAGTGTGAGAAAATCTGGATTAGAGCAAATAAAATTGAATTTGCCCTAAGCAGTGCCTCCTATAATGATGTGGTTAATGACACCACTTTGTCTAGAGGAACCAGTTGTAACGTATTTTTATGTGAAATACATGTGTTCGTACGTATGTATGTTTTTCCTCAATTTGTTGGCATTTGGTACAGTTTGATTTTGCGCAGTCATACAATTTAATAGCAACAACAACAATACAGTATTTAAAACATGATGATGATGTTTCCCAGATTATACGACGTAGAGCCAACTATATACTATATACGACAATAGTTACAGTTATATGGGTTGACTATATAAAAAAATTGAAATGACAATACCGCCGCCATTGTGGTATATTGAAGTCAGAGTATATTTTACCCAGTAATTACCCTAAATCGCATATTACAGCAAAATCAATTATAGACTATAGCAAACATTTTTATAATTCTAAAAAATCAGATTTTTTTAACTGAACTTAAAAAATCCACCTAGAATTTTATGTTAAATAATTCCAATTTTTGTATAAAAAAATTAATATATCGTACTTTATATGCTGAACATAAAAATTAGAAATCTTTGGAATATTAAAAATGTATGTGAAAATTGTTTGTACTTATTGAAAGTAGTTTTGTCCGTAAACAAATTGTGTAAAAAAGAGTTTATAGCAGTGGAACTTTTTATAAGCTCCGCCATTAGGGGCACTTTCAAAATACCTATAACCGATCTGAACATTTTTTATGTCAATGTAAATTGTCTGTCAGAAAATGAATCACAGGGAGTCTTGAATGCGATCTTGAATCTCCAACCACTGGACTCCCTGATTAAATTCAGGCTGCTAGATGTGCCCTGAGACTCCGAGAAACGGATGTAAGAAAGTCGCCGAACTTGGGTCACGCTAGTATCCTCAACATGACACCAGGTTGTGAGTTCTTGGGGAGGAATACTCACTTAGTGATTATGTTCCCTCTCATAGAGATTTTATCCGCATTAGAGTAGAGTTTCCTAGAAGGGAATCCTGGACTAGTGGCTTCTTGCTTCTGTCAGGTCTGCCATTTTTCACAGACAGGTCAAACATAGAGGAAGGCACGGGTGCAGGCGTTTTCTGTAGGGAATTAGAAATCTTGAACTCATATAAACTTAACGATCTTTGTAGCGTTTTTCAAGCAGAAATCCTTGCAATCATGAAAGCGGTCGAGATAGTCAAAACACTTACTGTCGATAATGCGGGACCGGTGACAATATATGTCGATAGTCAAGTGGCTCTCAAGGCTTTAATGTCGTGCACTATAAACCCAAAAGCAGTTCTTGATTGCGGATTGCGGGGGTTCACAGTCGTCCAACCTTCCGATTGAGAGATCTGTGCAACCGCACATTGGCAAAATCCGCTTGATCTACGGCGAAATAGTCGGCAACATATCAAAGAACCTGGAACAGAGAACATGGTTGCAGATTCTCGAAAGCTATCTGGCCTAAATTCTCTCGCCGAAGAACTTCTTCCCTGTTGCACATCATAAGAGAGAGATCAAAATAATTGTAGGGATCATAACGGATCACTGCAAGATTTGCCTCTGAGTGAACGGTTGTAATTAACAACCGTACATCCCAACCTAACCTAGATAAAATCGGACAAAAACATATACGGTAGCTATATATAATTCCCATTTTTTAGAACCAAAAAATATATATGAGGTATATAATAATCAATTTCAACGAAATTTCAACGAAATTAGGCTATAAAAACTTTAGAACGTTGTGCAAAATTTCGTGCCAATCGGACAAATGAACGAAAATAAATATGGGAGATATATCTAAATCTGAGCCGATTTCAATAAATAAATAAATAATTTTTTTAATTACACGCCGTTGCATTTTTGTATATTTTAATTATTTACAAATAAAAATTCAAGTTTTTATTTTACTGATAACAAGTTTTTCATATTTCTACGAAGGTTTAAAATAATAATTCATTTGCTTTTGTGTAATTTCAAGGATTTTATAATAAGCTATATATTCTTGACGTTTTCTTTAAACAATCGATTTCAATATTCTTGTCACACCATTTTACAATTAGAAATGTTGTATAACATCCGAATGCTTTAATTTCGTATCATGAATTGCAATGTCATCTTTTTAGTAAGCTTTTCGCCAGACTTTAAAACAGTCGATGTAGTCGAGCGGGTCTCGATTTAATATATATATATATATATTTTATTCAATTCAAACCTGCACTAGTTCAAGGATGTTCCTATACAATTTCAAGTGAAAATCTCAGCAATTCTCGAAGATATGACGGCAAGAGTGATTTTCCAACATTAAACGCATTTTTCTCGAAACGGTGTGGCGGTGTGGCGAATTACTCAAAAACTACTAATCCAATCGCTTCCAAATTTTGACACGTTTCTCTGTGAGTATATTACATTGTGTGGCGTATATAACGATGTCCATCAATACAGTTGTACTCCATATAACGATCTCACACTGAAAAGAAAAAAATAAAATATAATATTTCAACAAAATACGGGAGTTCTACTGTATCACAACGGTTCAAGAAATGCGCTAAAAATATTTCTACGTGGCACAATTTTACGGTATCAACGTGTATATACCCATATTAGCCTTACGGCTAAGGTAAAAACTCTTAGAAGTTGCAATCTTTAAGCAAAATATTTAATTCGTGATTTAAACAGACATACATGTTATTGTTGAGCGAACGAAAATAACTAGATTTTGGAATTTTTCAAATGATATGCAATACAAGCTACTGACATATCTACGTTTAAAATATAAGTAAAAGTGTACCAGTGATAAAACTAGTACCCAATATTGTACACATTTTGTACAGATTGATGGAATATGAGAAAGTTTGTACCATAGGGATTAAAAATGTAAAACCATGTCCTAGAGGTAGTCTTTGCAATAAAATAACAATATTCAAATCAAGAGTGCAAATTGTACCAAATACAGTAACCTTTGGTGGATTGTCGCCTCCAAATAATCTGAAAAGATTTGATACAAAAACACTTGGGGTATAAATCAGATATCTGGATAATTCAAATTATATGTTGTATCAAAAAGGTACTCAGCCTCGTGATTACCATTGGGGAGTATGGTCCGTTTTTCAAAGGAATTGAATTGATATTTTAGGTTTTTATTGGGTGTCAAACCTTCGTACCATGATATATAAATGTCCCGATCGATTTTAGGCATTTTAAATGTCCACCTCGTGGTAGAAAAAGGTATAAAAAATTATCGTTCTTATTTATTCATGTTTAATTTTTACCAAAACGTGTACGGCAACACGTGGTCGTGTTGGGTTTTAATATCATTATTTGTTTGTATTTTCCAATAAACAGATTTTCCATAAAATTCCGTCTTTTTTCTACCTCCAACCGCCAATTTCATTTATAAATACTTCAGAAAAAACCATCTTTTAAAAATGATTGAAACAAAAACTAACTGTACTCTTAGGATTACTGAGTTCCAGATTATCATCCATATTTTCATAAAGCAAATCGTACATACAAATATAGATTTATATGTATGTGTGTATGTATACACAGTATGTTTGTCAAAACATCATTTTCCCCGGTTTTGTTTTCGTTTGTGTTTGAAATTAATTTGATTATTTTGTAATGCTAATGATGTCACATGTGATGCAATTTTTGTTCTGTTCTTTGATTGTTGTTGTTGTGATTACAACATCCATACATACTTACAAACATTTATGGCCTGCGAATGTTTTGAAATGGTATTAAGATTATTATGGTCTAAAAACCAACCCACATTTTCACTTCGCAGCCAATATCCGCCATCAATTGTCCATCCCATCCATCCATCCATCCCATGGCAATTCAATCCAATCGACACATTGCCCAACCATATGTGAAAGGGATCTACGAGATAATTGAGCTCTAGAAATACTCCCAAAACCACAAATTATACAAACTCTGTCATTGTGCTGTCCAGTGCTTGTTGTTTTTGTTGTTATCCACAGCAAATCCAATAATACGTATTTATGTTCCGTACATACATACATATGGAGAGAATGAATACATGGATGGAAAGTATCGGTTCATATCGTTCATAAGTAAGTGGTTGTTTGGTTTGTTTTCATTGCATGCTGTTGCGTATTCATATCTGGAAAATATGACTGGCGTCAGGATTAACAGGATAAACATACGTATACTAACACACATGCACAGACACTCGGAAACACGGATAAATAACTCATTAGCCATTAAAACAGGGAAAAACGCACAGAACGTTGCGTTGTATTACGCTGCGGTCAGCTAGCCAGCTAGTTGGTCAGACAGACAGACGGAAAACATTCAACATTCCGTAAGTCTGGAATTTTAGTTTTTATCTCATTCTCAGATTAAATACCGAGACAATGAACTTAACCGCATTTAGAAGAGTGTTTATGCAGATAATGACATCATTTAGCGGTTTCCTGGACATACCCACTTTTCCGCTAAAGCACGGGCTGTTGTAACCAAACCACAAGATTTACATATCACAACCGCTTAGCTTATTTTCCCTTAGTTTGTTTTCTTTTGATGCATTTATTGTTGGAATATTCCCTGGATTGGGAAATTTCACAGAAGGAAAATATTTGAAACGATTGAATAATATTACGTCTGCAGGACGTATAGACTCAATATAATGTTGGAAATATTAGAGTGGGTCATTTAATTTTTAGTGGATAGATGAAAGTTGGATTTTTATTTCTGTTCTATGCATCGAAAGTCTTTGGACTAAATGTTCGGTTTGTATGTTAGATAATAATTATTGAATTATACTCTGGTTGAATCCAACATACTAGTAGTATCCTAGGGGATGAGAAAAGTGTTTGGACTTTTTTACCCATATTTATATTATCTCATCATTACGATAGTATTCGAAACCCGAGATTCCAACAAATTTTTAGAGAAGTGTTTCTAACTATTGGGTCAAAACAAACTTGGAATACCCTTCTAACAGAGTTGTATAATATTCAATGTGCACTATATTTAATTGATCTTAATAGAATATGAGAATTCGATATATTTTCGACTATACTCTAATTTTACATCCGGAGTAGATTTCAAATCTTAATATTGCTTGATGATTTTTCCAAACGTAAATTACCTTTCAATAGCAGTCTCGGTTTATATGTATTTTAAAGATGTAACAAAACTCCCCGTCCTAATTTAGTGGCATTTTTCACAGATCTAATAATAAAATAAGTGTAAATATTTTGTTGTCTGTGCAAACTAAACTAGTTATGTGAAAAATGTTCTTCTATGAACTTTTTCGAATGCACTGTGGGCCAAATATCCCTTTTTTGCAATAATTAGTTCAGTAATCTTATTATATGCCCGGCAGGGCAGCCACCAAGTCCCAAAACCCACTCAAAGACATGGCCTTGAGGGCATTTTCTGCAAAATCGCTTTTTTTAGTTAGGCCTGTCATGCAGCAAATGAGCGATATATAGTCTCATCCGCTTTTTGATAAGGTATCTAAAGAAGTAAAGGGGTGTTTCCTTTGCTACGTGGAATTAGAAGGATAAACAGAAAATAATTTTCGACCGTCATAATAATCAGTTTGGGATTGGATAAATGGAGTACAGACCATTTTTAAATCAAAATTCATTTCTGTGGTATACATTCATTGTTCTTTTCGATTTATATTCGAGGTATATTTTCTAAAATTTTGAACATTTACACATTCTTTAGGAAATCCAAAAGGGTCTGCTACATTATGTAGACTATTTTGAGAAGCAAGTAAATCTTTCAAACGACAACATTTATATTATGAAACACGATAGGTTGAGAAGCATGATTTTATACAAATATTTAACGAATGTAATCTAAAAGAAATAGGCAAAATGTTAAGAAGAAATATGGAAAATGTTAAGATTTAATTTGGATTCATTTCTAAGAAGTTGAAGTTTCAGTACCAACAAGTGTTGGTACCCAAAAGTAGAGGTCAAATGTAACGAATTGGAACTTCGAGTATTTTTAGAACTGTGTACATAATTTGTCCCATGTGTGGACAAACTAATTGTAAATTTGACAGATTTCTGGAAAATTAAAAAATATTTAAACAATTATCAAGAATTATAATATTTTTATATAAAGATTTTTTTTTTTTAATTTTGTGAAAAACACCCGAAAGTACATCTGTGGAATGCAAAAGATCGACGACCTAATCGCATTTAATCCACTTGATTCTATTGTAGTATGTGACAAAAATCTATTTCCAAATATAAATATATTGTTACTGAAGGAAGGTTTTCTACCCCACGTCGAGTAAAAAAGTAGCTGAAAATCATACCACGTTCTTCTATATGTGCATAAATCTGTAGTAAATACTGATCACATAACTAGTGAAGTGAAAGTGCTGCAAGTCTTCTAAAACAAGAAGGCTTGATTTGAAATATACATTATTTTATTTTTAATATGCAACACATATATATGCAATACATTAAGAGTACTGAAGTTATATTTTTGTGAGCTTAATGAATATAAAATATTGTCTTTAGTTCTACTACATTTTCATTAGTTATGCTTTTCCATGTATTTTGTGTTAAACATATAAAAATTTAACGTGCGTACAAATGATTTATATTAAAATAATACATTTTTTAAAACTTAATCATCTACTCATCTCATATTTAAGAAAGACAAATTTTGACTTTTTTTCATTTCGCACCATTTAAATCTGACAATATTGATAAACGGAAACTATGTTTAATTCCGAATTTACTACTGTAGTAGTACTGTTAATCGAAGATGCATATTTAATCATTTGAAATCTAACTCTAACCCATATATACATACATATATACATTTATGAGTATAAATATATGATTTAATACAATATCACATACACATATATCTTCTAGTGTTTACAAAACTATGTTAAGGCCACACATATCGTTATCCTTTTGTTAGACTTCTACTTTTTTTATCTGACCAACAAATGGACACCAAAAAAAGGGCCAATAAAACAATAATAATCTCTTGTTAACAGGAATTAAACAATTCGAACATGTTGTACCTTTTTAAAGCAATAACTTCATTCATTTGTTAACAATTATAATGAAATCGTAGAAAGTTGTCATGGGTGTTCCCAATAAGCGACCACACCATCCGTAGCCACACAGTCTGCTGTTCCCGAGAAGAACACGCTGATCGCCACAATCATTTAATTTTGATTTTTTTACACGAACCAAAAACATACCAGACACGGTGGCTACATTAAATTGCTAATACAAATCACTCGTATAGACAATGGCACAGAGGTATGTTCGCTCGATCCTCGATTCTTGACAGAAACAATAAAATAAAAAATTCAATTTTAACCAATAAATTTTCCAATTAAAAAGGACTTGACATTTGTATTGCTGGGTGTTTTGTTCGGTTCGGAGTGCAGAGCCATTGTTTTGCATCATCTTCATATTCATAAGACACACACACAATTAGACGATGTCCTTTCGTAAGAGTTCGCTATGAAGTGCGTATATTGTGTTTATTGTTGTTGCTGTTAACTGTGAGTGGTGGTATCCTGGGGGTTGTTTTTACCGTTTCATGAATGCTCATTTTTTTACTCATGAAATTGTGAAGACCATCACCACTACCATTACAGTTTACTTGGATTGCTAAATTACAGGACTCTCTGAAAATGATGTGAGTGTATGAGTAGCCATGAGAGTTGAATGAATATCTATGTACATAAATATGTTTGCTTTTGCTGTAGAGAGTGTGTTAAGCACAGTGTTTTATATTCAATTTTGTGATAACCGGCCACAGGAAAAAATTTCATTGAGACAATTTTATGAAAAGTGTTCTTCATGTCAAAGATAAATATTTTGTAGTATCGAAATTTAGGGCACATTTATTCAAGGACTAGGAAAAGTAACATATTTTTATTTTTAGTTATAACGGGATTCTAAATTATACATCTCCAACACTGGACTCTGGCTGAGAAACAAGGCTATGGGGATGGAAGTTTTATTTTAGGGAAAAAAAGTTCTTGACGACTACTTTGAGGCCAAATTCGCCATAGGGTGATGATTTTTTGAGCTATATGGTGATGATTTTTTGTGGTAAATCTAAAATTCATGAAGATTTTTTCAGAACCTATAATCGTCCTTTTCAATTTTAACCCGATCTTTGCCCAAAAATCTCTAAATTCTTTCTGTAATAAATTTCCTATAAATTGTAGATTATAAAAAACTGGCAGATTCGCCTGATATATTTACCATAAATGAATCTCATTATGTCAAACAGGTAAATAAAATGTATTCATTGCAAATTCAATTTTTGAACCAGATTTTCAGACAATAAAATTGACTTTCCTCAAAGACTCCATATACTTTTTTCGTTTAAGAATTCTAACTCTTATATTTCCTCCATCCCAAGTGAATGAATAAATTCTACCGAATTTAAACACTGTACCTACTTCATTGCCTCAATTCAACCCTCATCGTTTGACCGAGTGAATAAGAACTCATGCAGAGTGCCTGCCCTCTTTCTTTCATTTGTTCTCCATTTTTGTTTTTGTTACTGCCATTGAATTTTTCGTTTCTTCTTCAATTCTGCAAAATTGCATTGTCGACTGTGACTGCAAATAAACATTTATTTGATATTTGTATTAGAGGGCATCTCTTTCGAATTTCAATTTTATTTTAAAGGAAAATTATGTCACAGCGGGATTGACCATTGTTGGCCTTTCATTCCCCCCGGGCATTTCATTGTCTTGGGCAATTCGAACTCCCTTCCAAGTGAGAGTTGGCAAGTGCAATTGTCTTCGAATTGGCTTGTGCAATTGTGCTTCTCCACTAGGTGAGCTGTTGTCTTGAGGAATGGTTGCAGATTGTGTGTGGTCTTTGTTGATTTGCCAGTAATTATGTCGTTGCCTAGCCATGGAAATGTTGGTGGAAAACGTTATATCGTCCAATTCATTTGTAGCAATTCGATGTATTTCAATTCATGTTTCCATTGTAAATGGAGCTATCACTGGACCGGTCGGACCACCAAGAGTCAGTGTTTTTGTTTTGCTTCATTGTGGCCAATTCAGAATTTAACTGAATATTGGTTGGATTCGAATGACATCGAATGTCATTGTATTATTCCCTTGGCACACTGGGTGTCACTTTGTTTCGACTTCATATTCCATTGAAGACAGTTGGGTATGAATTGCTCTTTGGAAAGTCATCCATTCTTTGAGATTTGTTTATATTCAATTTGGCCAATATCCGTAAACATGGAATTGAGATCTCATCGTCAGTGGACCTGTCAAAAAAAAGAAATAAATAAGTGCACCCATTGCATCTCTATTAGCGAAATCTCCAGCAGTGTGGGAAATTAGTTTTGCAATATTATATGGAAATAAAAGATCATTGTATCCTTATTATAAAACTGTGGTTAATGCGATGGGAAAATATTCACAAAGAGCTACACATGACACCATACTTGGAATAACAGGTGATGAAATTTAGCATTTGACAGTTGATTAAAGCTTACGATACAGAGTATGCCGAATTTAATAATTAAAAGAAGTAGAAGAAAAACTGGTTATCTTGTATGTTATTTTCTTTAATTTATTAACCATTAAAAATCCAATGAAAATATTGAATTTACTCGACTAGCATTTGCCAAAACTTTAGTATATTTAATATTAAATATTTATTAAATATCTAACAGCAAACAAAATATAATTTCAATACAGTCGGGTACGTTTTTAAAAAACACCCGTTATAACGAACTTTTTCCTATAGCGTACGAAGTTTAAGGATATATTTTTCATACTAAACTTTACTCTTTAAGTTTCAGTTTTCATTTATTTTAACTAATTTGCTTGGTCTCTACAAATTGGCTATATTATCATACTATAATATGTCCCAATTTGTTCGAAAGCCAAAGGTGGATTTTTTAACATTTTTTCAAAATTTGTCAATCCTATATCACCCTAATGGAAAGTCTGATTTGATCCAAATATTGCAAATAGTAAAGCTTTTACCAAACCTACATTACATCCCAAGATGGGGTCTATAAAGCAAAATTTGCTGGTACCTCTCCACAGATGGTCAACTCTTTGATAACAAATATATATTTTATATAACGAATAATAAAACCTGAGTGTAATTCCGTAGGCCTACCATTGCCTGAGAGTATATATCTGTCGGAAATCATCGGCTGACACTTTTTTACTTGTTACATGACACAAAATATAACGCCCTATCATATAATCATAGCATGTGCTTCTATATCGTAAGTTCGAAATATTATTCCATTAGAGCAAGTAATCCATCATTATCGATGGAAAATGAAAATCACTTTTCTTAACAAAAAAACATTGAATGTCAAAACATTTATTTCAAGAAAATCAATGACTGTATTGAGCGTGAAGGTGGCCAAAAACAACAATTCCTCTTCTTTTTCTGAAAACAACAAAATAAGTTGTCAGTAATTAACCTCACAAGTTGATGTCGTCACAGTCTTGGGAAATCCCTTAACAATCGAGAGGAAATGGCTGCCTCAAATGATTCAGTTTTTTGTCTTCAAAAGAAAATATTTTGCAAACAAATCAATTAGCCTCCTCCTGTACAAGGAAAATACGATTGAAGTTAAAAAAGAGAAAAAAATACAAACAAAAAATTCTCTTTTTGAGAAACTCACTTTTTGACATTTATTTCTTCATCGATCATCAGCATGGAATGATGACTTTCTTAAATCAGTCATTGTTTCCAACAATGACAATTACTTCCTTATTCTCTTCCTGTTTCCTCCATTGTTGTTTTCGACTTGTGTGGCTGTGTGTGTCTTGCAGGAAACAAATTATGTCATCATTTGATATTTATGTTGGGAAAAAGAAAAATTTACTTTGAGAAATCTCAAAATGAGAAAATGTCCACCATCACCACTAACCCGCATTGAGATGAGGTAACATAGGATCACCCTTCGTCTGACCCATCATTCGTATATTTGTTTTGGTTTTGTCTTACAGTTGCTTTTGTTAACCACACCAATGAATCGATCATTTCCGCTATTGAAAGGCAACCAACCACCTCCCACTGATATAAGATTTCTCACTGCCACAATTACTCAATGGGATTTCGGTTACAATTACCCGCAGTTTTGAGTGACATTTCAATTTGCCCTTAATTAGCTTCGATTTTAAATGACAGTTTTGTTGGCAAATTGTTTACCTAAAATTGCATACCCTTGCATATTTTATGTTGATGGTCAATATATCGATAAATAATTATTTTACTATGAATCCCTTTATCCTGTATAGGCAAATTAATTATTATAAATTAAATTTGAATATTGACCTTGATGCATAACAAAAAGGCTTCCCGTGATTCCAAACAACTTTGGTGGTCCATAGGAAATTTTTATCATGTACATAGCACAGTTACAGTATTTAGTATCGGATTCAGAAGAGATCTACTATGTTTTAGTGGTGATGACATTACATTGTGGAAAGTAAAGCTTTTATAAATTATACATAATATAAGATAATTGTTAGAAAATACTGTCGACAAATATAAACCCTAGCACATGACATGGCATTTATCATGACTGTTATATGCTATTTTGGATAGTTTTTTCCAAGTCAGAAGAATTAAACCGGTGTGTCTTGTTTTTGGACTTATTCTACATATGATAAAGTAATGACTAAGAGAAAGGCGTGTATCCATTTTTTTTTTTTTTTTTTTTTGAAAATTAATTTAAAAAAAAATTATTAATATATTGCGAACGGAGTGTCCGATTTGAAGCAAACTTCGCACAACGTAATATTTTAACCAAGACAGTATAATATTTTAAGATGCGATTTTTCAGTCCACTCCTTCACTTTTCGGAAGAAATAAATTGTCTGAAGTCAATAGATATATTTTTTAAAACCTGAAATCAGGTACGAAGATGGGACCCATCGGTCCACTCCCTCTGGTATTAAATTGTACCTTACATACGACACCAATTTTATTTAAATACGGGGTATAAATATTCCATAATAGGTTTTTGAATCTTCCCATTCATTGGCGCTGACGACAAGTGTTTACCAGGACTGTCAAATTTGGAGAAAATCATCAGTATTTTAGATTCTTCATAGCAATTGGATGCGTAATGATACAGAAATAATTCGAAGGGATAATAATTGTTTAGAAAACACACTATCCGACAGTATCAAATATTTTGACAGAGTTGCCATGTTAACAGAAAATTACAGTTTTCTGGGATTCTTCATAACGTGTGAACGTGCTCATAATATTGTAAACGGGTTTAATAAGGTTTTACCGGAGTTGCCTCTGTAACAGAAAAGTGAAAAACCATTCTTCAAAATATAATTTCATATCCAATAACATGGAATATTAAACGGCATGCACACTAGAACTTTTTCACCGGGTTAACCTACTTTAAGAGGATTTATTTGACATATATGCAAAGGAATTGACAATTGAAACCCACTGGGTTAACGAAATCCGGTTAGAAAATAAAGTATACAATTTTACCTTTCATATGACACCACTTTCATTTTAATATCAGCAATACGAAAAAAGTTATGGCGAAGAGAAATAAGGTATGCATGTTTAAAGATCGCGTCGCCAGCGCCATCTTTTATGGGCACATCTGTTTTTAAGCCCAGCTTACCGAGCGTATTACTTTTGAATGGATAATCGGATTATTCGTTATGCCATCAGAAACTATACAAATTTACTTTCAATATGCCTGCAATATCTGCAAAATATCAAAAGTTATTAAATTTTGGATGATCGGTTTTTGAATCTACCCAATCAATAGGTGGCGCAGACGACAAGTGTTTGTCAGTGTTGCCATCTAAACTGAAAATCACAGTTATCTTAGATTCTTCATAATTTTTTATTGCGTAATGATATATCTTAGAAAATCTACTATCCTATAATATTTAAGACTGTTTGTTAGAATTGCAATTAGAGTTTTTTTAGATTGTTCAAAACATTTGAACGCGCTACAACAGAAGTTCAAATAAAACGAATATTTGTAGCTCAAAATATCTTCTTTGTAATCGCTTTCAAGAGTGTTTGCCGCTATTGCCAAGATAACAGAAAAGTGAAAAACTATTATTTAAAAACCTATTTGATATCCAGTAACATCGATTATAAAAATTTTATTTATTTTAAAAGAAGATACGATTGTATCTTTCTTTTATTTCAATATCTGTTATATATCTAAAACGACTCCAAATTGTCTGAAACGGAAAACGCCAAAAGTACGGATTTTTTCCAGAACTTATCACACCTTTTATTATTTTGCCGGGTATATGTTTACGCCCAAACTAAATCGACTTAGTATTTTGCCCAATTTATTTACATTTCTTTTATGATTGCAAAATGAAAATGAATCATATGTTTCATAAAACAATATAATTATTTGGCATTCAATTTAGAGGAATGTCTGTCTATCTATGTATAGAAAAAGGGAGAGAATAATTTTATCTAATAGTTGAATTCGATTGAATGTCTCTCGGCCGATAAGATATCAAAGATATTTATTTATCAAAAAAATATTCTTCAATGACTGACAAGTTTCAGACAATCACCATTAACGAAGAATCATTTAAAGTTGAAAGATTCCGATCGACAATAATGCCACCATCCCACGCAAAACGAAATACTAAACAGCACAGATTTATGGTGACTATAACTGTGATTTCGTTCTGTGCCACCGTTTTAACTATTTTTTCATTTGCCAGTGAACATTGGGTAAGGTCAATGGATTTTGGAAAATATATACATACATATCCCAAACTATGCTCAGAACAGTATTTTTCTTCCTCTATTTCGGCAGTTAGAGGCTACTGCAGTATTAGCCGAACGTTTACAAAGTCAAGTCAATTATGGTTTGTTTAAAGGTTCCATTGAAAGGCAACAGTTGGCCTCCACACTAAAATTTTCTTTGACAGGTAAGAAGCCCTATTAAAAATTTGATTAAATGCAAATTAAATAATTTTGAAAATATATTTTGTTATAGTGGTCTGCGATTTTGGTAAGAATCTTTGTATGTATAGCTGCCAACAGGATCCGTATCGAAGGCAAATGGAACTGAAACGTGTTATCAATGGTGAAGATTTGGACCCATGCGAACAAAGTAAACAATATAGCCTGAAGGATGTAGTCAAATCAACGGATCAACACCGTCAGCATTTGAACCACACATTGATTTCGAAAAGAACGCTAACAAATGCTCCTTGTGTACCATCATCCATCCATCTCTGCAGTATATTGTTTTTGGGTTTGGCACTCGTATTCTCTCTTATGGCCGTTATATGTTCCTGTATCAATTTGAAATTTCATCCTGTCGAACGAATATTCAATATTTTCGGCCTATATATTTGGAATGCCATTGCAGCTGGGTGCTGTTTTTGGTCTTTGGCCTTGTGGGGCGCTATGTTTGGTAGTCATTTGCGTTACAACATCGCCATTACGGATACATTACGTCAACAGCTGAATTTTTCCTCTGAAGGATATGCCAGCTTAGGCGGTGCATATTATTCGTTAGTTGTTGTCATGGTCTTGCACATCATTAATCTTGCTTTGCTCTTTGCAAGGAGATATTTTGTTGATGTACAACCGCATTCGGTAACAAATAATTTGAACTACGATGATGCTGAGCCTAGATTAGAGTTTTATTAAATTAATGATAATTAGTTCATAAGACAATGTTTTCTGATATCGATGGATATTTTTCGGGAATATTTACTCATAAATATAATACGATATTTAAATTGTAATGGAATTATAGAATATTAAATGATCGAATTAAGCTGAATTTTTCCTCTGAAGGATATGCCAGCTTAGGCGGTGCATATTATTCGTTAGTTGTTGTCATGGTCTTGCACATCATTAATCTTGCTTTGCTCTTTGCAAGGAGATATTTTGTTGATGTACAACCGCATTCGGTAACAAATAATTTGAACTTCGATGATGCTGAGCCTAGATTAGAGTTTTATTAAATTAATGATAATTAGTTCATAAGACAATGTTTTCTGATATCGATGGATATTTTTCGGAAATATTTACTCATAAATATAATACGATATTTAAATTGTAATGGAATTATAGAATATTAAATGATCGAATTAAGTTTTCTGACTGGAACATTAAATTTTATACTCTTCACTGTAAGGAGGAGTGAATACCAAGTACGTTGGCAAAATCTCGAAATATTCAATAGATACTTACTCTATCTCAAGAGCTTTTAAATTGTGCACATATATTAACTCTTCTCCTTGAATATTTAGTATTGGAAAAGATATTTATCGTTTTGATAATGGCGCCCCCAATATTCGATGTTTGGGAACTTTGTTCAACCAAATTTATTTTTGGTTTGATAATTTTGGGTTCTCAATCAAAAATTATCAATATTGGTCCACATTTTAGGGTAACCCTTATATAACGGTATTTTGGGTAATATAGTATATTTTTCAAACAAAATGCCTGTAATTTTATATTTGGAATTCTCATTGGCTAGAAAATATCCATACCAAAAAATTTCCGCCGAAATGACATTAATTTTATATTTTGGTTGTCAAGTCTTCCTACCAAAAATTATGAATATTTATCCTCATTTTGGTGACCCCATTTTTTCCAACTTGAGTGTCTGCAGTTTGAAATTTCGTTTTCTCTATTTACAATGACCATAGACTAATGAAAATATAGACGACGAAATGCTCTCACGAGTCCTCTCTGAATTGAGTCTGCTGAATGTGCTACTCAAATTTAAATGCTGATTTACTTAAATATTTGAACCTTTTAATTTGGAATGCCACTAAACATAGTTAGTCTTAAGCAAAAACTATATCCTCAGATAAAAACATTAAAGAAAACTAGTCCATTTTCCCCAAAAACGTCTTTAAAAATTTTTGAGTGTTTTTATTTTGAGTCACCTGAATGAGCATTTTTGAGTATTTCGTCGTCTATGCTATGACATAGCACCCACACAATGACAACATTTAATTCGAAGATACCTGTGTGGTGGCATGCCTTGTATGATTGTACCATGCTTCATACAATGATGGTAGTTTACAGTTTAATACTACTCTATGAATTTAAAATCTAATTAGTCAAATAACAAATATTAACACTTTTCGGATTACTAACAACAAGATGTAAAAAATATATTAAAAATTATTTAAGCTATGCCCCCAAATACTCAACCAATTTACCAGTTAGAAACTCACCTAAAAATGCAAGAGGTTTGTGCCTTCGATAATATACGACTGGCATAATTGACGACGCATAATTGTTTAACCAATATGACAGAATCTAAAAACATTTGCTGGTAGTGTAAATGTATTTTAAACATACATTATGACCTTTTGCTTGACACACAGATATCAATCGCTGTATCAGCGAGTTATTTGTTTGTTTTGCTATGGTGTTTTTGTACTTTCAAAAGTTTGACAACACACTTCGCATTGGCTGTCAGGCAAAATGCACTCTGCGTCACGGTTACCTATATTTAAGATTATTAAAATGTATTAATTAGCAATTTTAATTGTTTTGGGAATAACACATTTTTGGGTTTATTATAAAGCTAAAATCACCTTTTCATTATATTGGTCATCCCTACTATGTCAAAGGTCGTAATAACATCGTATTTGCTTAAATTCAGTTTATTTCCATGAAAGACGAGTCGAAGATGACTGTGTTATCCCCAACTATTTCTATCTAATGTAACTTTCTCTCGCATAAAAAACTCCATACTTTACAAATTCATATATATTAGTATTTTATTCTTAAATATTAATAAAAAAATATTTAAAACTTAACAGTTTAAGATGACTTATACCATTCAGAAAAATCGCATACATTCTGTAAAAAAATAGTCTTATAATTCAATGTAGATTCTTGCAATGGTACTTCTTGATAAAATTACAAAGGAAACATTTGGGTGTTTGGATAAGAACAATAATGCAAATGTTATTAAATATAAATGCAGAAATAAATGGAAAAATATTCGAGGGATTATTTCATTATAAGACACATTCCAAAGCTTAATATATAAATGAGATATAAATTTAATTTTTAAAACCAAAATGAGATTCGTATATGTAGTACTAATTAGTTTATAGATAAGTAGTTATGTATATAACGGCAATATAGGCAAACAAAAGTCTTTTTGTTGTATTGTGTTGTTGAGGAATGTTACAACATAACGTTCACCATGAAGTAGTTGTGTGGGTTAGTGTAATAATAATACATTATAGTGTGTGTATGGACTGATGATAAACAATAAATCTCATTGTTTGTAGAATATTTGTTGATTATTCGAGTAAGCGTTCAAGTTGTTTCATATCGTGCCACTTGAATGTGTCTAATACAGCATTATAGCACATTGATTCTTCTCTTCGCTTGGTGGCTCCAAACGTTGACGATCCCTTCGATCACAATGTCGAGCGTACAACAATATAATAATGTTTATTATAACGACTAGAGTTGACAGAATAACCATATAAAAGCTATAACCCAACGAGGCCAAACCTTTGCTGTACCAGTGTTGTTTTTGATCGACCGCGGTCAAAACATTGTGCTGTAGATATTGGAAAAATTGCACAAGCCAACAAATAAATGCCACAACCTGTGTAACAGCTGACGATATATTCGATGCAATCAGCACAATCAGATTAATGGGACCCTTGGCCGCAGAGGCCGATTTGAATACAGCAGCTATAGCCGAAATAGCACATCCCAATAGGCCAAAACCTGCGCCTAACGCTGTGAATAGCCAAAGCCAAAAGTTCATAGAATCCGGTTCCGTTTGTATAAACGTGTAGACTGTAACAATATTTGGAATATAAATTTAAATTAGATATTAAAAATTTATATACAATTATAGTTTACCTTCAACTGGTGTAATGCGTTCTCCAATTCCAGAATTTAAAACTTTACTACCATAAAATAAGCCAAAATTAACTTCGCCAGTCAATTGCTGTGAATAGAATAAATTACTTTTAATACTAAATGATAATATTTAATAGTAAACACTATACAACAAAATTTAGTTTTTATCGTCTGGGGGTGAGGAGTTCAAGTCACTGTAGACGAAGGACAAAGTTTTGAATTATAATGTTTCTATGATACATGAATAAATAGCTCTTTATGTCCATGTATACGGCCGAGTACGATTATAACGAACATGAGCTATGTATAACGATTTTTTTTATACCGAATACAAGTCCAGGTCCCGAAGTTGTAAGACATATTTTTCATACACGAACTATATAACGAACTATTTTTTCGGTTACATCGAACTTGCGACAAGTATACATAATACTAAACAATGAAAATTCTCACAAATAATCATTTTTAGTCTAACGGCGGCAATCTTTACAAAAAATGTCAGCATCATTAAAGAAAAAGAGAAGCAGCATAGTGTTGACAAAAAATGTATCAAAGCCTATCAGTTTCTAACTGAATACATTTTTCCTGATTCTATATCAACATATATCTTCTATATCGAAATAACATGCATATTTCAGACATATAGATATTATCTGTTAGCACTATAATAATTGCTTACAGAACTTCAGAGGAGGAATTTTGAACTTCTTTGATAAGATAATTATAAATGTGTAATCAGGACTTCAACCGCTTAAGATTGATACCCACAGAGGATAGTATAAATGTAATTATAAACAATTTATGGATATTTCCTCTTCATTTTACTATTTTCATTGGCTGGCATCAGAATGTATAAATAATAAATAAATACATCAGGAAATACGGATTATATCGTTTAATCAGGCTTCAGGGCTATATGTGATAAAGAATTAAAAACGATCAGCGAATTGATTTTTTGTATTTGTGTATTTGCATAATATTTTTGTTAAATCCGAACCCTAAATGAGAATGACATAGAAAAAAGTAATAACAATTTCGATCATACCGAAATATTCATCCCCCTCTCAATTTTGCAACATACATACAAAATTTAAAATTTATAATTTTTCATATGACCACATAGAAATGGCAAGCGTGTACGACAAACTAGTTTTAATTTCCCCAAAAAAAATATCTGAACATGCTATAATAAAACACACCAAACAATTAACAATAACTCTAAACATATACTTACCGACGAATTGCCCCGCTTTGGTGTTGCCCTTACCCAGCTATCTGTTGTTAAGCTGCCCAAAAGCAAACCGATCGCAATACAACTCCCGAAGAAAGTTGAAAATATTAAAGAACGAGTTCTTAGACTCATTTTTGGGTGTCGCAAGAGCAATTAACGAAGATAGCTCTGTACGAGAAGCGGTTGACAACCCTCTGGGCGTAAAACAATAGAGCTTTGTTGTTTTAATGGGTGAAATGCGATGAGGATGAGGAAAAGCAAAAGACTCAGGCAACAAACTTGATGTTATTGATATCTTCCTCTTCTTCTTAATCACAAGAATTTGATCTTAAGATAAAACAAAAATAGTCAACGCAATTGTACTCGAATAAATTTTGTTCGTGATGATTCAATTTCAAGTCGAGTTTGGCTGCTAATGTTCCAGAAGCCGTATAAAGGAAATTAAAAACATTTTCTCACATCGCAACTTTCTTTCATCGTCGTCTCATTTGGCGTTTTCCTTTTCTTTGTTTTTTGTTTACACCGTCGATCGGCTTTGTTTATTTTTTTGTTTACAAATAAATGCTATTGATCGCTTATTTATGTAACAATTCGGCGGATTTTCAAGTTTAAATCACGTCACAAAAGCCAGAATTTATAATTTAATTTTTTTGTCTTTTTTGTTGTGATGGAGATCAATTGTTCTCTTGTTGTTTCTGTTTTTTGTGCATTGTGATCTTCGTTTCCAGGGATATGTAAGTCGATTTTCGACTAATCGGTTAATCGACTTGTATGAAAAGTTTAATTTATTTTCGATTTTCATAAATTTGAAATTGTTAATACAGTTTGAAAATACTTTTTAATTCTTCAATAAACATTTTTATGTTTAGCATTCTTAAAGTACCGGAAGAGAACATTAATGAAAACTTTAAAATTTATTAAAAAAAATAAAAAAAAAAACAAACAGCATATATAAAGGGATATACACACCATCATTTTGACAGTCCAACCTTTTTTATTCGATTCAAATAACAATGTTGTATTTAAAAGTATCTCGAGTAAATCGAGATTGTACGGAAAGTCTGCATTTACATTGTTTTAAATTCTCAATTGCATTGCGTATAGGTCAAATAAGGCATCATACATGACATTTAAAACCAAAGGCTTTAATATTTTCATTTATAAATTCAGAACTTTTTTGTTAACGCCAACGATTGTACTAATTTCAAGCTATTGACATTTTGCTCTAAAAAGTAATTCGAAATATAACCCTTTTCAAACAAAAATATAACCCTTTTCAACTTCGAATACCCTATTGACGTGCGTTTTCGATCTTTAGAACCATCTATATTTGGTCTGTTCCCGTACTGCAAGAATCTACTCGATTTTACTATTTTCTTCGATATCATAAAGGAAAAAAGTGTTATCGGAGTAAAAAGTAGTAGATTCTTGCAGTATGGGAACAGACCAATTATCGACAAATTCAAATTAAATACGTGTGGCAACACAACATCAATTCCAACAGTCTGGCAATATTGTACCAAACAAAAAATAGGCAGGAAAAAACAAATACGCGAGTCCAAATTTTTTACAAAAATCTGAAATTTAATCATGAAATATTGAAATTGATGTCGCGAAACTAGGAAAGGGGTAAATATCTACTCGAGGACAGTGAACAATCGTACGAAGGAGCAGCACAAAGCGATAAAATGTTGTAACACACCATCATCCCAGCAAAATGTAAATAAGAAAAGGAAAAAAATGATGAACAAAAAAGTGGACAATTTGTGCGAAGAGACAAAAACCAAAAATAACAAAGTGAAAGTTGAAGTGTTTTTCTTCTTTAATTTCGTCGTTTGGCCTGTTTGTCGATTCAAATTAAAACGAATGATGTGTAAAATTAATTGTTAAATTAAGTAAAAATAACATTTCATCACATTATTGGCAAAGTAGTTGTGCTCTGAGCAGAGGGAAAGGAGAAACGAAAGAAGAAGAAGCAGAAAAGTGCAAAAGACCCATGAGAATTGGTGTGAGTAGTGGCTTACACTGGGTAAGAGAAGAAAGGACAGGGTAGGGAGGACTGCCACAGATGAATGGCAAATAATTTGCAAATATAAGTGCAAATTCATTGCCCACCTTTGTAGACGGAGGCGGAAGGCACTTCCACAATTGACGATTAAACAAGAGATGAGACTCTCAAAATAAAAGTACCCATAAAATAACAACATAACAATGGAGCAGAGTCTGTCAACAAATACGAAAACAACAACACACAGTAGTAATATACACACACGCCTACACCTGAAACCGTATCGTGTCGACTGAATATTTGCAGTGCCATTTTAGTGGGAAGTGTTTTTGTTGTCGTTGTTGTCATTTATAAACAAAACAAATTGAGAAAAAACGAAAACAAATTGTCAATAATTAAATATTTGAATGATTTTGTGTGTTTTGGAGGTGCGTGGCTGCTCAATGATTGTCATCATCATCATCATCTGGTAAACAGCAACATTGGAGACACTTGATCAGGAAATCATTTTCGTTTACATATCAATGAATCAGACAGACATATTTGTACATAAATCCAAAGAATGCATTCGAATGCTTTGCAATCACTTTGACATTGTCGAGAATTGAGAAAATACAATTTGTGGCACTCTATAATAATAATGAAGGTCAATTGTGACGTTTTGCCGATTCCTTGAATGTTAACTTTGGAATGTTATTGTTGTCCCCCCAATGTATCCAACTTATTCACCGTATACCATCCATATAATGAGATGATCATTACTGATTATTTACTACAATTCCTAGCATTTCGGGATCGATGGGAGAAAAATAATGATTCCATACACTCATATTCTTAGACAATGGAAATATAATAGTGCTTTCCTTACGTAGTGTGACCCAAATAGACATATTTTTATCATCCCCTACACACAATTATGATATAAGTTTGTATGGCCCCAATAGTTTGAAACGTCACGAAATACAAGCCCAAGATCAATACTCAACTCATTAGCCGCATTTATGTAGCAATCGTCACGAATGTTTGCACGTAGGTTCAGTTCTGTCCAAAGACACCTATTAGTACTATCTTGAAATATTACCAGTGTGGTGATTGGCCTTTAATCTGATATCAATTCTCTAGATGTAAGGGGATGTATATGTGAGATTTACTAAAACTTGTAAAGTATATAGTTTAATATACCCATCACTACACATGAGAATGCAAATATCGGTAACTAAATGGCATGTCAACACATCTTTGAGCACATAATTTCACGTTGGAAAGCATACGGACAAACCAGCTTCTATTGAGGTCTTGAGGCGATTCATGGAAAATGATGTGAAAAATGTTTATTCTAATGATAGCTAACATACCCTATTCAATTCGAATTTTCTGTTTTATGTTTTCTGCATAAGAAGTAAATATATATAATAACTATAACGACATATTTATAGAGGTTTCTCTGAGCAATAAGCAATTGTCCTAAAAGATACACCTACTTCAAAATAATAAAAAACAAGTTTCAGAATAAAATATCTGCTTAAAATCAGCATCGTCGATTTATATTATTATTAAGTGAATCTCTTAGTAATCAAAATCAAGGCATTTTACAGAACATCTATCTAACAAACCCTTTGTCAAAACAAATACATGCTCGTATATACATATGTATATTATGAAGAATAAATCAAAGTAAAAGTGAACTAAACAATCTGCTAACGTGCAGGCCAATGATAAAAGATAAACAAACTGTGACGTAATCATTTTCCTTTCAATCTAAAGCTTGTCTGTTTTAAATAGAACAAGGACAGTCTGTCATTTGTCTAGTTCTTGGCAACAGATGGTGGACAGACAGGGAAAGTAAATTGTGTGCTTTCACACAAATGAAAACAAAATATATTATATATATATATAGCCAAGGGACGTTCCCTTTACAAGTAGCGTTCCTACAGTTCAATATCGAACTATGTTTATGGCAAAAAATAGAAATTTTATTTTGACTTGAGCAATTTATAATTGCATCGTATAAAGATTCATAATATCTATATCGAAATTTGTTTCTCATTTTAGTATTTCGTCAAAGATTCCTCCCAATCGTTGTACGTTGATTGAGGAACATTTTACGCCGAATTGATTAAGAAGAAAACAAATCCGAATAGAAACCCCACCACATAAAATATACAACTTTCTTTTCATACAAATTGCAAAAAAAGGAAATACTAAATTTGTGGAAGCACGGCCACAGCTTTCGAAGATCCGTTGCTGTGTTGTCTATAGGACAGCGGTTGGTTGAACCTTTCTAATAAAGGGGGGTAACGGGAGAACTTTGACTTGAACATGTGCGACCCAGTTTTGAAGAAGCAAAAATGGACTTGCGATTATTGCACCTACGAAAACTTCCCCTCCGCCATAAAATGTACCATGTGTAAGGGGGTTAAACCAATGGTCAATGAGGATATATTTCGGTACGTATTTCAATATTTTGATGTAAAATTCTCTATTTATGGCCACTTATTTCCTGATTTTAGACTCAGTCCTCCCCAGTCATCCTATGTGGGCGATGCTGAGGCCCATGGTGCAGTAGCCGAGGTTATTGATTCACAACCATTGGGTTTGATCGCATGTTCTCGCCAGGATACGCAAAATTTAACAGATGATGTGGTGGTAACGTCAAACGATGCCGATTGCAAGTGGTCCTGCAAAATGTGTACTTATAAGAATTGGCCCCGGAGTATACGATGCGTTCAATGCTATACCAAGAAAGGAACCACAGCGACAGATACAAGTCCCTCACGTGAAATTGGTGCCACCTCAGTGGCAAGCCAGCGTTCATCACCGATAATGGCACAAAGTGCATTAGAACGCGATATTATAGATACGAAATCATTCATAGACTCGTGCTCCCCAGCGGAGGCGATTAGCAATCAGAATCAGATACAAGAGAGGCTAAGTAAAATGCAAATAGCAACAAATATAGATGCCGAAATGAATGCCAGCAATAGTGCGGCCAGTGCTGCTGGAGCGGCTGCGCAACGTCTAAGTCCAATCGAGGGCTCCTCAACTATACATCTCAATAATCTCGCCAATAATAGTTCAGTCCAGACACAATCCGCCACCACAACCACCTGCTTATCATCCACCTCGTCTAACACACAGCTAGCATGCTACACCAAAAAATGGGCCTGCAATGTAAGCCATTAACTAGCCACCCTAATCGGACTATAATTATATTTCATTTCCATTCCAGACTTGTACTTATGAAAATTTCCCAAAAAGTCTCAAATGTTCCATGTGTGGCAATCCTCGTGATAATAATAGTTCATCTTCCGCCACTGCCAATAACAGCATTGAAAATAATGCCAGTGCAGCAAGCGGCGGTGGAGGAGGTGTTGGAAATAGTAATAATCAAAGTAATGTAACCTGTAGTAGTGATAAAATGAATGATACCGTCTCATCGAATAATTCCTTTAACAAACAACAAAATATTTATCAACTTGGTAAGAAACAACTTGCCCTAGGCATTGGTCTCCAACAATTGTTGTACATGGATTTTGTTTTGTAGGTTCTGATACTATTAATAACTGTGATACAATGCAAGAACGTCAGGAACGTCGAATACGACAAATAAGACGTCAAGTTGATTGGCAATGGCTGAATGCCTGTTTAGGTAATACGAAACGAATTGTGAAACATAATCGGCATATACTAACACCATTTCATTTCCATTTTAGGCGTCGTGGAAAACAACTACAGTGCTGTTGAAGCGTATCTTTCGTGTGGCGGCAATCCGGCCCGTTCCTTAACCAGCACTGAAATTGCGGCTCTAAATCGTAACTCTGCATTCGATGTGGGCCATACCTTAATCCACCTGGCCATACGATTTCACCGCGAAGAGATGTTGCCTATGTTATTAGCACAAATTTCCGGCTCTGGCCCTGGTATCAAACGTGTACCGTCATATGTTGCACCCGACTTGGCATCAGACATACGCCGACATTTTGCCAACATGTTGCGAATGCGAAAGTCTATGTTTCCCTGTACATATGTTCAAGAACATGCCACATTTGTATTACCGGCCGAAATAGAGGAGTTGCCATTACCCATACAAGAGCAATTGTACGACGAACTGTTGGATCGAGATGCCCAAAAACAACTTGAAAATCCTCCGCCAGCCTTAAATTGGTCCCTGGAGATAACAGCACGCCTGGGATCCCGATTAATGGTACTTTGGAATCGGAGTGCCGGAGACTGTCTCTTAGATTCTGCTATGCAGGCCACATGGGGGGTCTTTGACAGAGACAATATACTACGCAGGGCATTAGCAGATAGTTTACATCAATGTGCACCGATGTATGTTAAATGATAAATCAAATGAAATTGATATTTTAATGTGATTTCATTTAATTTTCCAGATTTTATTCTCGCTGGAAAGAGTATGAAATGGTGCAGGCTTCTATGTTACATTTCACATTGGAAGAAGCCCAATGGCAAGAAGACTGGTCCACATTACTGTCGTTAGCTAGCCAGCCGGGTGCATCATTAGAACAATTGCACATTTTTGCATTAGCCCACATTCTAAGGAGACCCATTATTGTTTATGGCGTTAAATATGTGAAAAGTTTTCGTGGAGAAGACATTGGTTTTGCCAGATTCGAAGGTACCAATCTAACCTATGAACTTATAGGGCGAAAATAATCTCGATATATTTGATCATATTTCAGGTGTATATTTACCTTTATTTTGGGATCAAAATTTCTGCATAAAATCACCAATTGCTTTAGGTTATACCAGGGGACATTTTAGTGCATTGGTACCAATGGAACCATATGCGCGCATTGATTTGCGTCGTGATGAACCTGAGGATGTCACCTATCTACCATTGATGGATTGTGAATCAAAATTATTGCCAATACATTTTCTCAAACAATCGGAGGTAGGTATTTCATTTGTTTAATAAAACAGTTGTTTGTTGATTTCATTTTTTAAAATATTTTATTATGAGACAAAATTCCGATTACTGTTATTGAGTGGTTTGTTTTAATCAGACCGTTAAAACTAAACAAATTATGAGTTCAGCCAGAAGGTATAGATGCACTTTCGTTGAAACTTGAAAGAAAATTGAATCCTTGACATATTGAACTTTCCTTTTTAATAATATTTAACTTCATTTGTAATGGAAATATAACAAATTCTTCAATGTTCTCATTGACTTTTAGATGGGCCGTGAAGAAGCCATAATGCGTCAATGGCTTGATGTTTGTGTTACCGAAGGTGGATTATTGGTGGCCCAACAGAAACTACGCAAACGTCCTCTATTGGTTGCCCAAATGTTGGAGGAGTGGTTAAATCATTATCGAAGAATAGCGTAAGTATGAAAACAACGCAAATAATTGAAATAAAATTGCAATTGTATTTTCTTTATTTCAGACAAGTTATAACAGCTCCTTTTGTACGTAGACACCAGCAAATTGGTTATTCCAGCGATGGTGATTCTGATGAGGAGTAAAGTAGAGATAATTGGCTAGCAACACTATAGATACCACTTCTACCATAATTTGCTTAGATAAGTATATTGAAGATACAATTAACATATATTTGATATATAAACAAAATTAAATGAAATTTTTCGTAGTGAATTTTTTTGAAATAGTTAACTAAACTCTTAAAGAAAGAATATACAACAAAATACATTATTTAAAAGAAATGAAAATTATTGAAAGAAGTTATAACAAAAAAAGAAATGAAAATATACAAACATTCTTTTAAAGAACCTATGAAATAAAAATACAACAACAGAACCCACGTATGAATTACTTAAAAATAAATATTATTTTGTTAGATACGAATTACAAATTGAATCTGCAAGAAATCAAATGGAAATTCATAGAAAGAGACAAAGACAGATATGAGATACTAAAAAGATAAAGTCTAGCATAAATACAAAATAAATAGTCCTCCAAACAATTTACTAGCTGTTAATTTCTAGAAAAATACCACATCCCAACCTTCCCCGTGGTCACCCCCCACCACCTGTACAAGAACAAGAATAAAAACTGGATATTTTGAAATGTGTCTCTCCCCCAGTGCCCGTCGTTAGCCGATTTGAACGAAAACGAAATTTTCAGAATAAAGAAATTAACATTTTTAAAATCAGTAAATAGATAATGAAGTAGTTTATACAAACAAATTAAAAATAATAAACTCTTTTTTAAACAAAACATTATAAATGATGGTATTTAAGATGACAAATATTTAATAGTTATTTTATCGTATTTTATTTTATTTCTTTAAACTTTTAAAATTGATTATATTGATAATAGTATATGTATGCCGAGATGATGACGATGCGACACAGTTGATGGAAAAGTAAATTATATTGAATAAAAATAATTATTTTTGTTGGTAATGTTATTAAATAAATAATTATTAAAAAAAATATATGCAAATAAAGCGAGAGAGAAGAACAGATTAAGTTAAATTCTTACATTACAAAAAACTATATGCAATACACAAATAAAACATTAAATCATGTTAAAGACAAACAAACGGTAACAAATTGATTTTGCTAAATTGAAGTGTGGAATTGGAAGTCTTAATCATTTGAGTTTATAATATAATAGAGTTCATTTACCAATTAATGATGACATTAAAAGGTAAGTTGTTCATTATGTATCTGGAAATAAGTAAGTCCCAATTTAGTCCTGATTTAGATTAGGCGAGTTTACTTGCGGCAATTCTTATCGTTCTCTTTTGAACTTGCTTCATGCGTCTATACAAGGCAATTCGGCTTCATAGTCCCAATTTATATTAGGAGAGTTTAGTTGCGGCAAGTCTTTGTTTGCTGGAGAGAGGGGCATGGGGAATAGAAATGGAAAAAAATTGCTCGTACCGGCAATTTTCTGGCAATTCGTTTTGTGTATTTTGTTTGTAGTGTCAGTAATTCACAACATTTAAAAAAAAATTGATCCGAATTGCCTTGTATAGACGCATGAAGCAAGTTCAAAAGAAAGCGAAAAAATTGCCGCAAGTAAAATCGCCTAATCTAAATCAGGACAAACATTTTTTTTTTAACATTTTGTGACAATGTTCTGGATTAGCATTTCAAATTACTGACACTACAAACAATTTACCCAAACGCAATTGCCAGAAAATTGCCGGTACGATCAATTTTTTTTTTTTCAATTTCTATTCCCTTTGCCCCTCTCTCCTGTAATCAAACACTTGCGAGTTAAATTGCGGCAAGTCTTTGTTTGGGGAGAGAGGGGCTCGTACCGGCAATTTTCTGGCAATTCGTTTTGTGAATTTTGTTTGTAGTGTCAGTAATTTGAAATACCAATCTAGAACATTGTCAAAAAAAAAATATTTTTGAAATCGAATTGCCTTGTATAGACGAATGAAGCAAGTTCAAAAGAGGACGATAAAAATTGCCGCAAGTAAACTCACTTAATATAAATCAGGACTAAAATAAGCTGTAGCTATAGATACAATCGGAACGATTTTTTCAGTGGTAGGTTTTTTTTAATTGGCGTTTTTGCAAATTTGGGTTTCTTTTCCGTACTCCAATAATCGACTAATTTTTACTATTTTCTTCGATATCATAAAGGGAAAATTGTTATAGTAGCGAAAAATTGTTGGTCTGTTCCCGTACTGCAAGAATCTACTATTTTTTACTACGATAGCAAAATTTCCTTTATGTTATCGAAGAAAATAGTAAAATCTAGTAGATTCTTGCAGTACGGGAACAGACCATGTGTATTCTTGCAGGTTCTGGAACAGACCAAAAAAATTATCAATATCAAAAAACTAACAAATCGTATCGTAAATCTATGGCTTTAAATTGATTACAGATTACGATATTGATTTTGGTTTGAAGATTAAACTGCTTGGAAGTACTAAATCGTTTAAATTCATTTTAAATAACCTTTATTACAATCAATCACATTAGAATGCCAAGATGTCTGACAACAACAAAAAATAGGCTATTTACATTGACCTGATAAAATCTTAATTGAAAAATGCATTTAAGTTTAATGTATTGATTTTAAAATAGCCGTTTATAAGAACTTGAATTAACCCAGTGGGTTTCCATTGTATATATGTCAAATAAATCCTCATAAAGTAGGTTAACCCGGTAAAAAGTTCTAATGTAAACACCGTTTAATCTTATTTTTCAAAATAATTAGTATTGCTATTAAATATATTTTGTTGAGAGAACTTCAAAAAGTGCATTTTTCATTCAAATGTGTAGCCCTCTATAGCACAAATTTGACACTAATATTGGAAAATGTGTCTTGTCAAGTCTTTACGATTGTATGTCTTTGATAAACAAAAGCCTTTGTTTTTGTCTCGATCATCTGTCAAATATTTCCATATAACATTTCACAACACTGCACATCGAATTCAAGTAGAACTTTCTCACTTTGACAGTTAATCAAATGGTTACATCAATTTTAAATCTCAACTAAATATCCCTTGTTGTTATAGCACCACTTTTTTTGTTTTTTCTTATAACTCCTTTTTATTGGCAGCACTTAAAATCGACCTGCGTATCCCTACAAATGTCAAGATTTGAACTATGTAGTTCACAGAGCGGATAGATTTAAAATACAATAATATTAAAAATTATATTTTTATTTTAAATATTATTTAAGTGTTATTATTTGAAATAAATTTAATTTGACCATACGAGCAACACTGCATATTGATTTTGTGAGCTGCAGGAAGCATTTGAAACAACATAACCGATGAGGCGATGTGAACTAGGCGAACTAAACAAAATACATAAAAAATCGTTCCGATCATTCCATCCTCGGAATAGTTCCGTTGAACTAGTTATTTTGGAGTTGCAGAAAAAAGTTAACTTTTTTCTCAGCGCTTGTCTCAGTCTATAAAAAAAGTTGTCGTGAAAAGGTCGTGTGTGTTCTCCTCTTGCGCTAGAAGCTGCTTTTAACAAATTTTTAACTTAAAATTAGAAAAGCTGTGAGTGGTGGTGTGTGTGTGCGTTTTTGATTAAATTGTTTTAATATTCGGTTGAACTTTGTGAAGATAGTAGTTTATCAATTTGAGTTTTTTTTAACAAATTCGTTATATTTTCTAACACAGGCTATGCCGTTTCTTTGGAAAAATTAAAAGACGAACGAGCAGCAAAAAAAATTAAACGACAGAAAATGCATTTATTTTGAAAATTTATAAATTTTGCAAAATTTTCATAAATAGTGTTGAAAATCAGAATATTAACCGCAAAAATAACTAAAATACAAATTAAAACCGTCTGAAAGGAATTTTTGTGTGAAAAAAATACAAACTCCGTTTGAAAAGGAAAAAAAGACGAAAGCAAGGCTACCAAAAGGAAATCATTGAACACCAGAGCAGCAAATAAAGAAGGGAGCAGCAGGCAGAACACAAGTGTTGTAATGGGTGAGTTTGGCAATTACACGACAAGTATAAAAACGACAATAAAACCAACAACAAAAAAACACGAAGATTATGGCTGAAATTGGGGTAGCATTTTTTGTGAATGGTGTTTTTTTTGCTAGTCAATTATGAATTCGTACATTTGTTCGCAGATTTTTAAGCCTGTTTGTGTGTGTGTTAAAGTTGAAGACGAATAACTAAATAAATAATACGCTCAACATTTAATTAATCTAATTTACAAATTCGTTGGTGGCCATGTGAAAGAGTCTGCTACTGCTGCTGTTTTGTTTTTTATTTCTTCTTCTTTGGTACACTCCCTATGGTGTTGTTGGGTTGTATTTCTGCACAAAAGAGAGACACGGCACCAGCAACAATAGAGAGAAAGAGAGAGAGACACTTTTTTTCTTATTGGTGGTTTGTGGTTGTTGTGCGTGTGTGTCGTTTCGAATTAGAATTTTCTGCAATATATTCGAATTCGAAGTATGATATCACCCGTTGTCCACACACCGTACGCAAAAACAACAAAAAAACCAAGAAAAAACACAACTTAATACATTTCAGACACGCACTAACTCAGGCACATGTATACAACAAACACATGGCCGCCACTGGATTACAACATGGGTTTTTGTAAGAAATATGTCAATGGAAGAAAACGAAAAACAGGAAAGGGCAAAAACATTAAATTGCTCATCATGTTGTGGTTATTATTTTTCCCCCTTTCCGTTTTTTAATGACGACGACGATGATGTGATGATGTATTTTTTGCTTCAAAAAATGGATTGTGTCAAAAATGCTTCTTCTTCTGCTTAACAAAAAGGTAAACAATGACAAATACGTTTCCTTATAGACTGGTGTGTGCGTGTGTGTGTCCGTACACATAGGTTAAATCAGTGTTGCTGGATAATATTTATTTTTATAAGAATCCATGTAATTTTTGTTGTTGAAGATGTTTCTTGTTTACCAGCTGGCTGTGGCTGGTGGTTGATCCACAGGGGAGAGAGCATATTTACCAAAATCATTGGCGAAAACCAAACAATTATTTTTTGGTATTATACTAAAGAGGCCATCATCCCTTTTCTGTGACAACATGTAGTTAGTGTATGTATTTGAGTATGT